TGTCCATTAACAGATGAATGGATAAAGAAGATGTAGTACATATATACAATGAAATATTACTCAGCCATAAGAAAAAATGAAATAATGCTATTTGCAGCAACATGGATGGAAATAAAGATTATCATACTAAGTGAAGTAAGTCAGACAGAGAAAGAGAAATATCATATGATATCACTTATATGTATAACTTTTAAAAATGATACAAATGAACTTATTTACAAACCAGAAATAGACTCACAGATACAGAAACAAAAACTTTATGGTTACCAAAGAGGAAGGGAGGAGGGATAAATTAGGAATTTGGGATTAACAGATACATACCACTATATATAAAACAGATAAAGAACCAGGACTTACCGTATCATCAAAAAGACCACAAATAACAAATGTTGGTGAGGATGTGGAGGAAAGGGAACCCTTGTGCACTGTTGGTGGAAATGTAAATTGCTGCAGCCACTGTGGAAGTTCCTCAAAAACCTCCTATGGAAATTCCTCAAAAAACTAAAAATAGAACTACCATATGATCCAGTAATTCCACTCTTGAGTATATAGCTGAAGAAAACAAAAACACTAATTTGAAAAGACACACGCACCCCAACGTTCATAGCAGCATCATTTACAATAGCCAAGGCATGGAAGGAACCTAAGTGCCCATCAACAGATGAATGAATTAAAAAAGATGTATATACATACAATGTAATACTATTCAGCCATAAAAAAGAATTAAATTTTGCCATTTGCAACAACCTGGTGGACTAGGAAGGTACTATGCTTAGTGAAATAAGTCAGACAGAAAAAGACAAACACTGAATCACTGTGTTGTACAATATATAATGTTTTTAAGTATAGTAATATAAATATAATATTGTAAGTCAGCTATACCTCAATACAAAAAAAAGAACCTACAAAAAAACAAAAGAAGTGAGCTGTTCTCTGTATCAAATGCTGCCGAGAGTTAGAGAAAGATGAGGATTAGCGATGGACCAATGGATTTGACGAGACAGTCACTAGTAACCTTGACAAGAACAGTTTTTGGTGAACCGGTGAAGACAAAGATCTCACAGGAGAATTTTTATCATATTTATTTCCTTTGGGCTTTTCTGTATTTGCCAAATGTTCTACAATGTGCTTTAACATGAGAAAAATAATGTACACACACAATTTTTATCACAATTATAAGAAAAAGTTTATACATTTAAAAGAATCTTGTATTTTGAAAATTTTCTCTTGTGGAACACTTCACTCCTTACTGGTATGGAATAAGAAAAATATCACTGTACTTAAAGCTAGAGTTCATGTGTTTTTTCTATTTATTTGACCGCAAAAGCTCTAATGAGAATATGAAGTCTAATACTTCTCTCTGTAATGAAATATCTGCCTCTTTTCAAGGACTCAGACTATGTCTTACGCAACATGATGGTCACAGGGCACCTGGGTCTAACAGAAATCCACAGGAATCCCCCTACCATCTTTAGGAAGACGTGCATCTTCAGGTATGAGCCATGTCTGGTTTGTCTGACTGCCAGCATCTGCCTCTTATTAGTACACACCCTCATTCTAATTGGGTTTCAAGGAGAAATTCCCGTAGACCTTTGCATGGGTCCTTTCCCCCTCAAGTCCTTTTTAAAACATATTTCAATTTACTCTTTATTTTCTATAATTTTCTTATACACATGGAATTAACAAAAACCCACCATGATTATGAAAAATGCACCCACATCACTTATCAGAGCTCATCATCTTAATGTTAGCCTGTGAATATGTATGTTTTATTTAAAGAAGACAGGCTGGGGCAAAGATGGGGAGGAGGCAGAGAATGTTGCCTTTAATAAGTACCCAGTTCTAGATTACTTTGAATGCCTCTTACCTGTGGAATGCAGAGAACACTTTTAACCTGTGGGCATATGCAAAATGGACCTTAACTGAGACTACGCCTGTTGCAAAAGAGACTAACTGCTTCTTAGAGGGTCAGTGGAGTTGAGTAGGCATTAACCTATCACAGACTTAGGAGGCTAACTTAACATTTAAATATCTATTTTAATTAAATTTTAGTTTGGCCTCATGCCAGAATGTTCATTCAGTTTAACACTCTTTTGCATATAATTACTCCTTGTGCTGGTCAGAAGTTTTACTGGAGTCCTTGTAACACCCTTGTAACACAAAGTTATAACCCCAGATTCCTGTGTATAACTTAGAGCAGGTGCCCTTTGAGGAACTCTGTTGCCCAAGAAGGTTTAGTGTGATGCACCATTAATCTGATTATCATAAAGACAAAGTGGTGGTTCAGCAGCAGTGAGGGGTAGGAATAGCAAAAGGAGGACATAATATTCCCTGTCATTGCAGGATTGATGTTATGAGCTATAAGCGAGCTTTTCGAGCCTATGCAAAGCACCAATATTTTTACAAATGCCCCAAAGGAATGACATCTCAATATCAATGTAGAGAGGGAAAGGAGGAAAGAGATAAAAGAGATGTGTTTATACCTCACTAGAGAAAGAAGGAGCCACTACATTTCTATGAAAACCTCAGGTCCCTCACTAAAGCAAATGCTGTCGACGCCCTGCCCAGAGCCCCATATACCTTTTGCCAGCAGCTGCAGGTACTGCTGCTAATGACTCACACTGTAACTTTCTCTGGAGAAGCGCCCTTGAGCAATGAGGGCCCCTCACTAGGAGGTACCTGAGAATTATATAAACATACTCCCCACCCCCCAGAAAAGCTTAGCGCTCTAATGACTGACCAAAAAACCTTCTCCCTTGCCTCAAGGTGGGCAGATTCTGTAGCACAATTTGCCTTCCAAATCTCTCCTTGGGGTCAGGCTACTTCAGCTGAAATCACATTCTTACTTAGCTTCTCACCCTTCTCCATCCTGCTTCCCTCAGACCCTTACAGGTTTCCCCTCCCTCAGTAAATCATTTGCATGGAGCACCCCTGGCTCAGGCTCTCCTTCTAGGGAACCTGACCCAACACACTCATTGTTCCTTCAGGTATTCAACCAATCAATACTTATTGGACAATATGTAAACAAAAAGCAGATGCCTTCAGATGAGTGTAAGTGTAGTGAAGACAATAAGGCAGAGTAGCATGAGCGAGTGTGACTAAGGTGCAGCCACTCTGGAGTACGTGGTCAGGGAAGGCTTCTCTAGGGGAAGAAGAGTGGGCCGAGGGAGAGAGCCAGTGAATTCAGTGGGTGGAGTGGCCCAGGCAGGGGAAACAGCAGCAAGGGCTGGTATGGTGGGAGGCACGAGAGAGGGTGATTCAGTATGTTTGGGTCGAATGTTATGAACAGGCTGTTGTTTTATATCCATATGCTTATTTGATTTTGGTTTCAGAGATTTCCTCTTTAAGTGCACAGACAGTTCAGAAGTTGTTTTGGCCTCTGTCTGTGGAGAAAACCACATAGTAGTTCCACTTCGTGAGAGAACAGGAGAAGCTTTGGGAATTCTTGATTTTAACATTGGCAGGAGTAAGATGTTGTTGTATCGAGAGTTTAAAGATCTGCAGAAAATGATGAAGGTGATCCAAGTTGCCTGCTTTGAAATACTGGGCGAATTATCTGGAGAAATAAAGAAAAACTATATCTTAGGTATTGTGAATGCGGTGACCATCTGAATTCATGGGTTTAATGAGTTTGGGGGAAGTCACAGACAATGCAATGAAGGATGCATTTTCTAAAATGAATTGCTGCAACATATAGATCTTTCTATGTGGAAGGATTTCCTTCATGCCATCTTGAGTTGTTGAGTATGGTCCATAAATTAGAGCAGAGTAAGGAATCCCATTTTCTTGGCTAGAATCATGGTTTTAGAACTGGAAGGACTCATAAAGGCAATATAGAACTAGCATTTATTAAATACCGGATCATGTTTCAAGCACTTTAAATATGTTATTTCAATTAGTACTTACCATAATTCTATGAGGTGAATGGTGGGTGATATTTCATTTTATAAACGAGGAAAGTGAAGTTTAGAGAAACAAAACAACTTGCACCAAATCACATGGTTAACAAGTGGTGAAGGCTGGTTTTACACCTTAGTTTGGGTGCTTTTTCCACTTTATTACACAGCATTAACTCATTGGAACATCTCATTTTACAGATAAAGACGCTAAGGCCCATCAAAGTAAAGGTCGAAGAGCAAGCCAGTGCAAAGCCAAGAGCAGACCCCAGTCCTTGTGATTCCACATCCACTAAGGCTACCCTTAGCACAAAATCAGTTTGGGCAGAAGGGAAGGAAGAAGGAAGCATGGAAACCTTTGACTACCTAGAATGGAGTTAATATAAATAAATTAGAAGAGTAACATTCAGTAGGAAAAGCTGAAAGGTTTCTAGCCATTACACAGGGTGGGCTAAGAAGAAAAAATGAAAAGAAAATTCACGTCTTTTGAGCATCCAGTATGTGTAAGACCTGGGACTAAGCACTTTTACATATACTGTCTCCTTTAATTCCCATAGCTCACCAGGGAAGTAGGGATTATCTCTATTCTGACAGAAAAGGAAAAGGAAGATCAGAGAGACAACAGAACCAATAAGGGGGGAAGTAGGTATTCAAACCAAGGTCTAACTCCAAAACCAGAGTTTTTGCCTTTCCTCAGAGCCTCTTCCTGTGAACTTCACTGGCTGTAATTCCATTTTTGCTTTTTGGTTTCATGACTAGAGAAACTAAGATTGTTTAAAAACCATAGGATATGGTCTTCTTTTTCCTGAAAGAAAAAGGTTGACTATATTATGCTCAGAATCCTGTGAAACAGTAAAGCATGTACTGAACAACAATGTGGGATGTCATCCTATTATTCCAGAGATTGAAAATGTGGGAGAAGTCCAGCGGGCAGGCATCCTCTTCTTCCGAGTCATGCTGCAAGAGCTACAAGAATGCCTCCGGCTGCTTACCTCCATGGACTTTGTGTCACTGTTGCTCTTTGATTACAATCCTCTGGAAGAGCCCAAGTCTCCACCAGACAGCAAGTCCCAGGAGTTGGAAGCCAACATAAAACTAGTACAAGACATCCTGAAGGGGATTATCTTGTTCTTTCATCCAGAGTTGGAATTATCAAGTGATTTAGAAAATTGGGAAAAGTGCAAGCTGGTAAGTTTTTAAAAAAAATACTCTCTTCATTGAAGAATAACCCACACAAATTTAGATGTACAAATTGTAATTGCACAAATCTTCAGTATACAAAAGCAAGAATTTTTATACCATGAACATTTGTAGCAGGCACCTGATTAAGAAACAGAACATTAGTGGCATCCCCAAAGTCCTCCTTTGTACCCTCTCCATCACCTACCTCATACACACACGCTCACCCCAAGGGTGACCAGAATCCTGACTTCTAGAACCATAGATTGGTTTTAAATGCACAGAAATGGAAATGTGTGAACTGGTGGATTGGGCGCTCTACTTCCACTTGCTGATGATTCCGTAACTTTTGCTCTTTGTTCACAGTGCATTGACAGGTACTTGGTCCAGAATATTTGTGACTTTGATCCAACTGCTGGGCACGTGGAAGTTAATTTAAAGCTCATTGATGAATATATCAAAGGTAAATTTCCACTTAATTATGGCCTAAAATCTATACCAACAGCAATAAAGCACAATTGCAGTCTGGAGACACTATTAGAATAAAGCAGGTGGCTCATAGATTCAGTTTTTAGGGGAGAACAGTCTTCTAAAAGGAAGGACATTGTGTATAATCTACTGCAGTCCCACAGTGACTGTCTATGCCACACTATGAGAATTCAGAAGCACCTCTCCCTCCCACTTATTGACTGCATGCTCATTATTCGTTAAAAAGCAAAAGGGAACAGGGGCTGCAGTGAGGCTGGGAGACAAGTACCTTAAGCAAAAAGACAGTTCCCATGAAGAACTGAAGAAAATAATAGATGATTCTTTATAGTGTAGTAATGTAGACTTTAGGGGGAGGACCATCAGCAAGAATCAACAGCAGTGAGGCTTCCAGGTTGGAGAAGGTGATGAGCTCTTTGGTCACAGAGAACTGGTCACATATAAGAGTAAATAAAAATACATAAGCACACATTCCTCCATCAGAAACCTCAGGCCATGTACATAGGAAACAGTTAAGAATGAACTTAAAGTTGGTATCTTTTTTGTTTTTAACTCATAAAAAATGAATCATTAATTGGGAAAATGGCTCTGTAGAAATCGCTCACTAAACCTATCCCTCCTTCCCCCAATCCCCCTCCTACTCTCTTTGGAGACTCTGGACCAAGTCAGAAGGGTTTCTGGACTTCTGGGACATATATGTTAGGCAGAGAGGCTCAAAACCAGATTCATGGGACAAGAGAAAGGAAAAAGCTACCCAGGAGAAGACAACCACACTCCTCAGGTTGTCTGAGACAGTGGAAGTGTGAAGCAGTGAGCCAGGGCAGGAGGATGAGAGAGAGCCTCTGGGTGAGGAAGGAGAGACACTCCCAGAAGTTTGGGAGTGCCAGACACGAGATTCATATAGAAGTTAACATGAGTTAATGTGAACCAGGAGTGATGCAAGTAGAGGTAGAATTCCTCTTTGGAATGGCTTCTGTGTAGCCTCATGGCTGTGGGCTGATTCACAGGGGCTTCTGGAGTCATAGGTGTTACAGGTTTCACTTCTAAGGTGCTGCTTAAGGACAACAGTAACAGCAACAACAAAAATGAATAGTTGTTGTTCACTATAAACTTGTATACACTGTTTTTGGTCTATATTTGTCCACTGAGAACTGGAAAATCCAGAAGAAATGTTTTCTATGTCAGTGCCTATTTGCTTCTCTTCCCTTTGGAGTAGATCTAATCCCTGCCATGGGTCCAGCACTGCCCCATGTGTAACCAGCTTGTCTGATTGGCACTCTCCCTGAACCCCTACTTCACTTTGGCTCCCACCCAACCTGCCAGCCCCTTAGCCTACAGCCACACCCTGCTGCCAGGGTCACTTCTGTTCCCTCAGACTGATGCTCCCCTTCTTGGCAAGGACTCAGGCATCCACAGTGTCCAATCCAGTTTCTCTGTCAGACAGGAGTTAGGGAGGAAGAGGCCACTCCCCTCTCCACCTTGAAGGTGTGTTCAGGAATTGGCTCTCAGCCCTTAATGAGCCCATTCCCAGACAAAGGCATCTTCCCAGGCATTGTACCAATGCCTCAAGGGAATATCTTCAGGCTCCACCTCTGATTTGCCTATCAGAACTACCTCCTGTTGTCATACATAGCCCTTTGGCTTCAGGAAAACATGCAGATTTCTATTTCCTCTGCTTACTACTACTTTGAACTGCGCTAGCTGATTCCTGAGCACCTTTCATCACCAATGCTCCCCATCACTTTCTTTTCCAACAGTGTCCTCAGGTGGCAGGAATTCTAACTGCAGTTAACAGAGCTGGATTCAGCCAGACGCTAATAGCCCCTAGGCTACCTCCACTACCAAGCCTTTAGCATTATCACAGTCTTTGCAGCAATCAAGAAAGTCCAGAGGCCACCCAGATGCCAACCCTCACTCCTCCAGATATAATTGTATCAGGAAATTCTAAGCTTTCCATCTAGGGAAAGAAAGCGGGGAGCTCTGTGGAGCAACTTTCTGTTTGTGCCAGAAAAAGAGGAGTCTTCTGGCAGGGCGGTCTGTTGCCCACGTTTATCTAAGCCTTCTACCTGCAAGTAAGGCCCTTACTCAATGACTCCACCCATCAAGAAATGTCACCAACAATATCTGTAGGTTCTGCCCAGGATGGAGATGGACTGTTGGCATATCTCCTAACCCATGAAGCCTTCCAAACTAAAGATTTTGCCAAGAAGGTGGAGTAAGGGCTGGTGATGTGTCCACACTTTCTTAGGGCTTCTGCTTCCAACTCTCACTCTAATTCATCCTAGTTTTAGAAAGTTTTTTTTTTAATATTTAGAAAACACTTTTCCTCCCAGTTTTATTGAGATAATGACATATAATATTGCATTAGTTAAAGATGTACAACATGATTTGGTATATGTATATATTGTGAAATGATCCCCATAATAGGTTTAGTTAACATCTCTCACCTCACATAATTACAATTTTTTTTTCTTGTGATAACAACTTTTTTTTTTAAAGCCTTTCTACTGTAGGCAGAGGGATTATATTTTGTGGGGCTAGCCATCAATAGGCTTTAAAAAAATAGGCATATTCTCATCCTTTAAGTGTTTCTTTTTAAAATTTATTTTTATTGAGGGAACATTGGTTAATAACATTATATAAGTTTCCTGTGTACCACATTGTATTTCTGTTTCCATATACACTAAAACATGCTCACCACTAAAAGTTCAGTTTCCGTTTGTCACCATACAGTTGACCCCCTTTACCCACTTTACCCTTCCTCCCTCCCCTCCCACTCTGGTAACTACTCTTAGCAGCTTTCAAATATACCATACAGTATTTTCAACTCTAGTCACAAGGCTATACATTACACCTCCAGAATTTATTTATCTTGTAACTGGAAGTTTGAACCTTTCAACCATCTTCACCCAAATCCCCAACCTTCAACCCCTTCCTCTGGCAATGACCAATCAGTTCTCTGTTTCTACAAGTTCAGTTTTTTTTCAGATTCTCATATAAGTGAGATCATATAGTATTTGTCTTTCTCTATCTAACTTACTTCACTTAGCCTAGTGCCCTTGAGTTTTATCTATGTTGTTGCAAATGGCAGGATTTCCTTATTTTATTATCCATTCGTCTGTTGCTGGACACTTAGGTTGTTCCCATGTCTTGGCCACTGTAAGTAATGCTGTCATGAACATGGAGGTGCAGATATCTCTTCAAGACAGTGATTTCATTTCCTTCAGATAAATACCCCAAAGTGGAATTGCTGGATCATATGGTAGTTCTATTTATAATGTTTTGAGGAATCTCCATACTGGTTTCCTTAGTGGCTGTGCCAGTTTACATTCCCACCAATCATGCACAAGGGTTCTTTCTTCTTCTTCTTTTTTTTTTTTTGGTGCCAAAACCAGGGAATGAACCATAAGGGTTCGCTTTTCTCCATCTCCTCACCAACACTTGTTATTTCTTGTCTTTTTGATAATAGCCATTCTAACCAGTGTGTTGTGATATCTCATTGTGGTCTTGATTTACATTTCTAGAAAGGATTATTTTATATTCTGGTGTAATTCCGGGTAGCTGTGTCCCACCTTTATATTGAAGCAGCCATCTTTGAAGGAGCATTGGGCCCCTTTGTCCAGCAGACTTGGCTTCCCAAGACTATGCCATTGCATGTGAATACTTCCCTGTGGGGGACCCACTGACTCCAGTGACCAATCCCAAACAGCTGGGCACAGCACATCAGTAGCCTACTACCCTCTGTTAGTCTGCCTAAAGTACTCCCAGTAGTTGGCCTTTTCTACCTGAAGACCCATGACCTGACCACCTTGTCAAGGATCTGGTCCCCCCAACTCTACTTTGGACCTCTGCTGCCAGCTTAACCTGGTTTTTCTGCAGGGTGCCCCATACCTGTCCCATGTCCTCCTCCCAGTGGGTTTGGAGAGATGTTGTCTACCAGGAAACGTTCTTAGACCTAGAGGCAAAAGATCAAACAAAAACTTTTCACAAGATTCTACCAACCATCTAGAAATAGCAAATTTAAATACAACACTGAACTGAATTTGTAACAGCAAGGATGTGTCTAGTTCTTTTAAATCAGTCAGAATGAAATGGACAACAAGATACCAAGAACATCGTTTTGTCCTATTACTTGGATTGGATTAATTGGCTTGGATTTGGTTACAGTTCTCTATCACCTGTTTGCACCTGTTATTCTTGGGCGGTGGTCTCTTCCAAGATTTGTTCCTCCTTGTAGGAAAAGAGCTGCTATCACAATTAGATCTCAATTTAAGAGGGAGCCTAGAGTTTGCCATTTATGAGTTGCTCATGGACTTTAGACTAGAGGTGGAAATGTCCGTTCCATTTCAGAATAGATTCCCTTGTCCTGACAAGAACCTCTTTAAGGGCTCTTTTAGTTAAGATATGAGACAAGTACTCACGCACGCACTGTTCAGGAGACTGAGGATTTGGTAAAGACCTGGAGCCTAGATGCTTGGCCATTTCCCATGCATTTCTCTTCCATTTTCAAGTCACCTGAGGGTAAAAAAGAAAGAAAAATATTAATTAGCCATCCTCTTTCTGTTCCTTATCAGTCCTTTTTTTTAAAATTTTGACATTTTCTAACAGTGTTTATTGAATTAAAAGAAAAATGGTTTTATTTGTCAGGGTAACATCACTGCTGCTTTGATATCTGATAAAGGGCTGTTAAAAATCAGTTCAATGAGAACATTTTTCTATTTGAGGCAAACATATTTTCCAAGTTCCTTTAGCACTCATTTTTTTATTTCAGAGGAGGTTAAAACAATCTTTTATCCCAAAATGATTAAGAAAGTTATATCATATTTTTATTAAAGTACTTTAAAAGGTCAAATAGAGCTATAAACCTTCTAACAAGAGTCACTAGCCCATCTCCTTTCTCTCTTCTTACTCTCCCTAGTTCATCTCACCAGAAGCAATTCTTTTAGACATTTTTGACTGTCCATGTATTGTACACTA